TTCACACGCATTCGATTCATTAACGTGTCCGTTCACACTAGACCGCTGGAAATGCTGGAAACGATGTAGTACATATGTCAGGCCTGTAAGTGGCGCTGCTGCCGCCCGAAATACACCAAAAGCAGCGAAGAAGACCCCGGAGCATGGTTGCCATGGTTGCCCTTCTGTTTATTCTCCGCGGTGGACGGCGTGTTCTCCTGCTGTATCTCTCAGGTAGTCCACCAGCAGATGAAAAACACCCACCTCTCCGCCTCTTCCAAGGAACGAGGGAACCGTGCGGCAGAGTTTCCGTAATTTTTTTTTTCCGCCGGTCAACATGTCCGTTAAAGCTTACATTTTCCGTACAAAATTAGGAAAGTGCCGGTCAGAGGTCTTCTTTGTTATTTATTGAGCTTTAAAACAAATTGATAACGACTCTGTTCTCTGTATAATAATATAATAATATTTAATAAACGGTGACTGCCTCTCTTTTCCTCCCCCTCTTCTGACAGCCCAGCAGCAGCAGGAGACGTGGGGAGAGGGAGGCGGGCTCTTTCATCGTTATCAGAAAATGATCATATAGGGCACACACGGAGCCGTTGGACCCCCAGAGCGTTGCGTATGCCGGTCTACCCACCTTGGGACCCGTTACCGTAGTCGTTTATTCCCCCCCCCCACACAGAGCGGAGCAAGGCAACGAAAGTTAAAATAATAAGCATCATTTTACGGCGCGCTATGCATGGGGCCGCCTTGTGGGGTTTCCCGACATGTCGTTTCAGTAAATTAAAGGGTGTTTCATGTGTTGCTGTGAACCTTCTTAATACCTTGGAAAATGCCGTTTAATACTTTTTAATAGCCTTAATTTTCGCTAAATTGATTTATCAACTTTTAATACTTTTTAAGACCCCGCGGACACCCTGTTTAAGTAAACCACATTTTAACAGCCCTAATGCACGGTACATTGCTGAATAACTCAAGAGTGGATTTTCCCCTTTTCATAAATAAAAAAACATGCAAAAGGTTTGCTCTCACGCCGTCGGCCTTTACCCATTCACAGTCGAGCCCAAGAACAGGAAACACCGCCAGCTCCTTCTGCATCAGCGGCCAGATCTGCAGCCACTCCTCCTCCGACCTCACGGTCACCGGATTCACCGTCAGCAGCTGCTCCGAGGACGGGATCCTGAAGGGGTCGGTCGGCTGCGTGGTCTGAGTCTCCACCACCGTGAACTCCTTCTCTGGAGGATGTTGGGGGGGCGGTGGAGGGGTGTACAGAGTCTCCACAGCCTTAATTTCCTTCTCTACAGGACAGAGAGCCTCCACAGGATCGGCCACCTTCTGGACGGAAGGCAGCCTCCTCCTCTTTGTGCGGTAAACTCTCCATACGAGCAGACCCCCTAAAGTCACCCCTAATACTGTTGTTATGACCGCGGTTAAAGGTCCACGGTGAGACATGTTGACGTGTAGAGATCCTCCTCTGGCTTAAAAGTGGAAACCTAGAGTGAGAAAACACAAACAAAATTGGTAAACAACTTTTTAAAATGTGCCAATCTGACCATTAATGGGTGTTGTTAACAAAATAGTGATTGATGTTTCACCTTTCCCGTGTCAGTGGGATCCCATGTAAACTTGGCTCTGTTTCTGTGATCTGGACAGGCACTGCATCTCTCTGAAACAAGTGAACAGCACACATTGTTATGTCACATATTTGCAGGGTTTAAAAACACAGGTCTGCAAACAACCTGACCCTTGCCGCCTCTTACCTCTGGCACCTCTCTATAATGCACGTGTGCACCTATACCTGTATTCCAACGCATGTGTGTATTTGTACTGTAGTTCCTGAAATGTGTGTGTATTCAAACATGTATATAATCCAAGAAGAAAACTTAAATTGCCCAAGGGGATCAATAAAGGTTTATCTTCAAATTGTCTTCCATCAGGTCACATAATTAAGTGTAACACCGGTCAAGTTAGCCACTCCGTTATGTTAGTTTAAAAGCAGAATATGGACATTACAACTCTTTAAACTGGAAATGTAGCTGCTTCATGACTCAGTTGTCGAGTTCATTCGAGTTTAAATAGTTAATGTAAACAGAACAACTACTAACATACGACTGTTAGAGTGAACGTTTGTCAGCTAGCATTAGCAACACAAACTCTGCTAGCTGTTAGCCGCGGCAAAACAGCATTTAAAACATATTACAATATAACCTCAAATTGACATGAATATGAAGTCAACATGTATAAAGATTAGTGTTCGTCAATATTCTGGATCGCTTTTCTCATGAAATCAAAGTTAAACCACCGTCAGCATCTGGTTAGTCAACGTAAGCTAGCCGTTATCTTGCTAACTTTAGCTGCGTTGTTAGGCTGAATTTGATATGTTTCTGCCTAGCAACAGAGCTGCATTTCTGTGAACTTGTAGATGAAGTTTGATTCTTACCTTTACGTTTTTAACCAACACAACTCCAGTTTCACACACATGTTCTCCTGCATTTCTGTGCTAAACTGATGCATGTCTTCCGTACTGGTTTTATAAGCACGCGGCTATGCAGCCAGCGCCCCCTGCTGTAGGGAGGGTATTACAACAGGCAGATACATAAAAATAACAAAATAGCCAATAAAATATTTGCTAAAAAGTTAAAAAAAAAAATCTACATAGCAGTCTTTATCTGTTTATATTTACCTGGCTCATTGTAGTTTTTTGTTTTTAACATTAACACCTATTGTTTCTCTCTTGATTTTTAGTATAATGTTTCCCTCAATTGTTAGTTTTCCCACCATTGTTTATTGAATTATATCCTTTAAATGTATATTTAAGTAATTCCATATTTTTAATTTTCTTGTGCTAAATAAAAAAATGAATGACATTCATGTTTCCCGCATTCCAACATGGTTTGTATTTCTATACGTTGGTCAGTTTAGTTGTATTTATTTTAACACTTTTTGACATTACGTGGGAGTTCTGGATAAAAATTGTCCAAAAATAATAAATACAATTATTATTCTGCTGGGTGAAATGTTTGTATTTAAAGCTCAATCAAGAAAAAAATGTGCACCAGTGGAATGACTAAATCTGCTCGACCTTATGCTTCTAAATAATTTGTTGTAGTTTAAATACATTTATTTTAAATACTAAAGTGTGTGTTATCCACGTGATCATCCTGCAGCCATCATGCACTTCTTTATATGGATTATTTGACTACATCTAAAAATATGCCCAGTTATGTCTGCCAACCCAAGGAGAGCCACTTCCACACCAAATACTTGCCGTACTTAGTGAAAGCGGATTGAAATGTTTTGTTATAAAAGGGTATTAGAATAAAAAAGTTATTTATAATTTATTACATTACATGTCACACGCTTTTATCCGAAGCGAATTACATACTCAATACTGTGGACAATCCCCACAGGAGCAATTTGGGGTGAAGTGTCTCAGGGACACAACGACATGCTGACTGCAGTGGGGTTTGAACCTGTGACCCCCTGATCCCAACACCAACGCACTAGCCCACTGCGACACACGCCTCCATTCATTGTGTGATGAATAAATACAAATATGTTTTTGTCGGCCGAATAATTGTACTCTGTTTTTGAATCAATAAATGTTACTATGCATTAAAAACACAACAGTATGGACTCAATAACACAGAACACTGTTTTCCTTTACCACCATCAATTTATTCAATCTTTTAGCTTCAATATTTCTCCAAAGAAGTGGAATAAAGTAATGAAATAATTACAAAATGGAAAAATAGATCAGATAATAGATCATATTCACAGGCTTGATTTAAAAAAATAAAAACATGACAGAGAGAAATCAGACGGAAGCGTTTTCATCTCCCTGTAGTTTTCTGCTGAGGTCAGCGTGCAGCTTACACTCACTAACCCCCGGTCACCTGCGAGTCAAATCATCTACTGTAGTGCTGTGCAAAATAAAAAGTTACAAATCAACTACTTAAAAAAATAGTATAAGAGGTGGAGAAACAGGAGATGACACATCCTACCGTGTTAAATAAAAAAACAAGATCATTTCCACGCACAGAGAAGAATGACAATGAGGAAGTAACATTGGAAGTACCGATGTGTACTAAACTAATAAAACTGAGCACAGGTCAGAAGCAACCAGTCCGCACCACCACCAGGTCCACAATGATTGTTGCTGCAACGAAACCCTATTTACAGAGAGATGCTCCACATCCAATCACAGGATGCAACAGACGGCAACAAAGAGATTTCTCTCCAAAAATAAAACAGAAACACAAGTAAAGCAGCTGTCCCTTCACAAAATCTCTTTACATCACATTACAAATTAGCACTGCTGTGAGCTGTGTACATTATAGATTCTTTATAGATATATATATTTTTTTATGTATAATATATACGGTCATTTCTTGTATACACGAACATAAACTCGTCTCATTGTAGCTAGCCTATGCCTTTGGCACGATTACTTACAACTCTTCTGTTAGATTCCAAAGCTATTTAAAATATACTTAATGCATAAAAATAAAGTTTTGGCATTTTCTCACTTTATTCTTCTGATTAGGAAGTTAGAATGAGAACTTCTTGTCTGGAAGCTGAGTTCTCTCAGTGCTGCAGTTTCTCTGCCAGGTGAGGAGGCGTCGTCCTGGCAACAGGGAGCGGAGGTGGGGGTGGGGTGGGGAGGGGCGATGCTGAGCCTGCGCTGCACAAACAAACGTACAGACGATGCTGATGAGAAGCTAGCCTGTTAGCCTGCTCCGTTTGGGGTTCTGCTCCCTGCTGGTTCTCCTTCTTCTTCCCGTGAGCTCTTCCTCTGAAGAAGAAGCAGGAGGACCCCCCCCC